ACTTTAAACTTCTTCAACTAGATCCGAACGCGACGAATCATACTTAGACAACTCGGAATGACGCCAAATTTTATGCACAAGTCACAAATCACCATACAAACCTATTCCTAGGCTCGGAATCCCAAACGGACATTGATAACACCAAATTCTACTTCAAACCAATTTAAGAAACTCTAAAACTGTAAGGCCCCGAAAATTTTTGCTAAGTAATTTAGGATTTTGAGGTGCCATGTAGGCTAATTATAATATTTTATGTGCTATAAACATGATATAAATAGATTGGATATGGTGAATTAGTGTATACGTCATGTAATAAGTAATGTGGGGTCCAAGGAGGGGCCTAAGTCTAAGTCAAATCGGCAAATTTCATAATAGGCTAAACTTCCAAATGAGTTTGCACAAGTCGATACTTTGAACGAGCATATCTAAATACATATAAGGTTTTATGTGATGAACAACCTATCATATGAAAGGTCTTCGAGTCCAGTTTCCAACGCTTTCAGCCGTTCGTCATTTGGACATTCCTACACAAAGTTATGATTAAATTACCAAAGGCTAGATTTGCGACCATTTTTGCGTTCGCAAAATGACTATGCGGACCGCGTATGCGTCGCATAATGAAGCAGTGTCGGGCAAAACATTATGCTGCCGCATGTTGATTATGCTGTAGCATAATCGATTATACTGTCGATTATGCTATAGCATAATGATTATGCTGCAAGAATGCTGCCCACATTTCGATTAAGCTATAGCATAATTGCACCACATAATTAACTTCGGGGGTCATTTTTGGAAATTTTCATATACGAACCCACTTTGATAAATAAGATTTGGGGCTTCATTTGGGACTATTTTACACTAAATCCAGAGAGAAGTGAGAGCATTTTAGAGAGAGAAAGAGGGAACCTAGCCTCCTAATCATCAATCTTGCACAAACCCTCAAGAATCAAGCATGCTAATCTCTAGCTCACTATCTTCCGGGTAAGTCCTACTTCTAATATTTCATATATGAGATTTTGAGTTCAAAAATATATTACGGGGATTAGAAATAGGCCATGCATGTGGGAATAAGTTGTAGTATGTGATATTAAAGAACTAATTTGGGTAGCTCCTATTAAAATTGGTTGAGGGAGGAGGGAATTTCCATTTTCAGACCTTGTAGACTACTTCACATGATAGGTGTTTGATGAAATTCCTAAGAGAGTTACACCATGGGTAATCTTCCTGATTATTAATCGATTTCCGCTATCTCCTTATAGATTGTTATTGCTAGAGGTGTTTGTGGATTGTAGAAACTTAAGAAAAAGCTCTTTGAGGTATGTATGGCTAAAACCCCCTCTTTTTAGAAATTAAGCTTCCATGGTGTCCGTACAAATATTGTAAGTCCGAAATTTGATTGATGTAGTACTTGTTATATTAAATGAATTGATGTTGTGAGAATGTATGTGGAAGGTGCGTCTCCATGTGTTTAATATGCTATTCTTTGTAAAATTGAGGATGTGTGGAGAACATGAACTACGTGCTAAAATGCCTAAATTTCAAGTCGAGGTTACATTGTGATTAATATGCCGGACTAGATGAATTCCTCTCTATGCTTATAACTTAAATTGCTTTTGTATGTGCCTATGCTCTTAAATGGCAAGGTTAATGTTGAGAATGGGAATAATGTGAAACGTGAGTTACGGAATGTGGCCTAGTGCCAACTATGATGTAATAACTGTGGCCCCAAGTGCCGATGAACTTGGGGCCATTCCGTAACTCACGTTTAAGAGCAAAAAAATTGAATTGAGATGATTAATGGAAAAGGGGTAACGTCTTGGTAAGACGGCTTAGCCGATCGGGCCGTGATCGGACGCCATGCTACACACATGGTGGTATTGTGCTGATATTAAAATCCGAAAGTGAGAAAGAATTATGATTGAGGTAACGTCTTGGTAAGACGGCTTAGCCGATCGGGCCGTGATCGGACGTCATGCTACACACAGGGTGGTAATGTGTTGATATTGAACCCGAAAAGTGACAATTAAATAGTGATTGAGGTATATGTCTCAAATGAGAAAGCCGATCGGGCCGTGATCGGACTCCGCGCAATAAAGTGGCGGTATTGTGAATGATGATGAAAAGTTTTGAAATGTCCCAACCTAGAGGTAGGAAAATTATGTGAAAGCTATGTGATTCCTTTTAATTGATGATGTGGTGATTGTTTAAAGCTTTTGTTGAATTCTTATGATTTCTTTGTTCTTTTATGATAGTTCTTTCTATTGAGATGGTGTTTATGATTTCTTTGTTCTTGTATGATAGTTCTTTCTATTGAGATGTTGTTTATGATTTCTTTGTTCTTGTATGATAGTTCTTTCTAATGAGATGGTGTTTAGTTATACATACTAGTACTATTCCATGGTACTAACGTCCATTTTGCCGGGGGCGCTACATTTTTAAATGGATGTAGGTGGTTCCGTAGCAGACAGTGTTGGTCGCAGCTAGTGGCTCATCCTCTTTTCAGCCGACTTGGTGAGCCCCACTTCATTTCGGGGTCCTGTATCATTTGTTCATCATGTACTTATATTTTGAGGTATAGCCGGAGCCTTGCTGCCGGCATTTTCATATTTCTCTTCAGTTGTATTTAGAGGCTCCGTAGACAAGTTGTGGGTGGTGTCGGGTATTGGAATCAAAATAGAAATATTGAAATTTGGCAAAGATGTATAAAACTTGTAATATCTTGAAACTTATGAACGAGGTCGCTAATGGAAATGATATGGAAGTCGTTAATGATATATTCATAGAATTTGATTAATGGTGTACATTTTCTCTTTTTTCAAAGACGAATTTGGGGTAGTATGAAATCTAACAGGCTTGCTCAATCGGGTTTACTCGGTTGAGCGCCGGACGCGCTCCTCGATTTTGGGGCGTGACAAAAACCTTCAAGGCGCCAACTTTCAACCTTAAGTGCCGAAATGCTCACGGATCACCCAAAACTCGATTCGAACACACGCCGAAGTCCAAAATCATCATGCGAACCTATTGGAACCATCAAATTCCGATTCCAAGGTCGTTTACTCAAAATGTTGACTCAAGTCAAACTTGGCCACCTTTGGCCACTATTAAGGAACTAAGTATTCCGAATTCAACCTGAACTCTTCCAAAAATAAAACCAATCATCCTTGCAAGTCATAAATAGTAAATGCATATACGAGAAGTCTTAAATAGAGGAATAGTAATCTAGAAAGCAAAACGACCGGTCGAGTCGTTACAATATCAGTACTTTCGGACTAAAAATTATAGCAAGAAGCTACTAATAAGTGGTTAAAATCCATATCTATCACCAATCTCAAAATATGATAAATGAAATTAAAACCTCGCTCAAGATATATTCTGCCCAGCACTTTCGCTTTTGCGGCCCATAAGTCACTTCTGCAACACCGCATCTACAAAAAAACCTTCGCAGATGCGGAATCCGCTTAAGTCCCCAGATTTCGCTTCTGGGGACCAATAGCTTGCACTTGCGGAGCCGCTTTTGCGGTCAAGGATGCGTATTTGCGCTATCACATTTGCAAAGGTCCTTCACATCCGCGGACCAAGCTTTCTCCCTCCCAACTCTGCATTTGCAACCAATCGTCCGTATTTGCGGACTCACACCTGCGGATCTGACCTAGCAGGTACAAAAACATCAGAACAACAATACCATCCAAGGCCAAAAATGGTCTGACCTTATCCGAAACTCACCTGATCCCCTTAGGACCTAGTCCAATCATGCCAACCAATTTCAAAATATAACAAGGACCTACTCGAGGCCTCAAATCACATAAAATAATATCAAAATCAAGAATCGCACGCCAATTCAAGCTTAATGAACTAATCCAAATTCCCGAATTCCAGCCGAACATGCCTAAACAACTCGGAACGACCTCAAATTTTACACACAAGTCATAAATTACCATACAAACCTATTCCAAGGCTCGAACCCCAAACAGACATCAATAACCACAAATTCAATTATGGGTCAAACCTATAAACTTCTAAACCTTCAAATTGTCAGCTTTCACCAATTAAAACCAAATCAACCTAGGAACCTCCAAATTCAAATTCAGATATACACCTAAGTCCAAAAGTACCATTCGAGCCTAACAGAACTATCAAAACTCTGGTTAGAGGTCAAATACATAAAAGTCAAACTTGATCAACACTTCCAACTTAAGCTTCCATACTAGGTACTAAGTATTCCAATTCAATCCAAAACCTCCCTCAAATCAAACCAGCCATCCCCGCAAGGCACATAACCATAAATAAGGATACATGAAGCATCTAATAAGGGAACAGACTCAAATACAAGCTGGGTCATTACATCACCACGGGCAACCTTTTACATACCCAACCATTTCAAAGTGTCTAATGCATACCTCTTTGCTGAGCTGGCATACACGTCAATTACACCAAAAAAAACGAGTGAATGAAAAAAAGAATTTATCTGAAGTTTTATATGAGTGCCACATGCCCAACTTTTAAATTGTTTCATTTTTTTAAAATCATTTCAATCTTCCAAAATCCCTAACCCTCTATCTTCCCTTCCCTTTACCCCTCTGTGATTAAATAAGAACTCACACCCCTTTCATCTTCTTACATCCTATTTTTAATCATTATACATCGATCTAAAATTTTAGATATTTGTATGTTTAGAAGAGGGAGGTATGAAGGTAGCGGTGCTGCTACCCCTCACCCCCACTGGAGTCCCCCTATTTTTTTTTTTTTTTTTTAATTTCTAATTATCTGTTGTCAGATGCACAAGCCAGCAAAAAAGTTTACTACGTAATTCTTGTTTTACTCTGAGAACTAGGGAAATTAAATACATTTGAAATGAAATGCTAATGAAATTGAATTTTGTTTGTAGACCTGGAAGGGGTAGAAGAAGAGAAGTTTCACAACGATCATTCCAATACAATCGATCAGAAAATTGAAGAAGTCGATCAAAAGTAGCTTCTCTTTATACATTCCACATAGTAGGTTCTCAGCTTCTCTTTGCTTCTACACTGACTCACTATGCTTGGTGAACACGGGGATGGAACAGGGGATTTATTTTTTCTTGATCGTCGAGCTTTATTTTTGTGATGATATTTTTAAAATTTTGAGATGCAATCCCCTTTTAACAATTGATGATTGGACCAAAGTTCAAGGTATTGCAGAGAGTTGTTTTGGCCAAAAATGGCGTCTGGGTAGATGATGAAGATGGAGCCATCGAAATTTAAGTTGTTTTAAAAGTAGTCGATATTAATTTATTTTTGCATTAATAAATAATCAAAGTTTAAATATTTTTAAAACGCTTACTAAAGCTTAATTAGCGGTAAAAAAAAGTGGTTATTTACCCCCTATGTCGTGCATGCTCGGTCTCTATTAGAGCCGATTCCGATTTTGAATAGACCCAATAACTCGGGTTGGTCCAAGCCAAACCTACTACTATAGTTTTGAGGGTTGAGCCTAGGAATTGGACAGATGGTTTCCTTGACAAACCCCGATCCATATGCCGATTATCACTATGACATATCCCAAAAAGTTAAATGTGGTGGGACCCACAAAAAATATACACTCCAAGTTCAGTTCAGCAGATTCTTGACTTCACCTTACCTTAGATTTTCTGCTATTATTATTATCTGTCCAAGTTTACAGTTCATCATCATCCCCTTAATCATTCCTTGAAGTACGAGAAATAATATATACTTTCTATATTAGAAGTACTCTTTTCCCCATCGTCACGTTCACGGCTCCCACGAGCATCACTCCCAAAAGTCCACTGTTTCAATACCATGTAAAACCACCAAAGAATCAAAATCCAAAAAAAAAAAAAAAAAATTAAAAATTCAACCCCTCAACCCCCTTTGTGAACCCAAGTTCAGTTCTTGATTTTTTTATATCAAAAAGTCTATAGAAACTCAACCCCATAACACCCTTTGTAAATCCAAGTTCAGTTCTTGAATTTGCTTGGCCAACCAAAAAAGAAAATGAAGGGGTTAATCAGTAGCTTATCTTTTTCAGATCATCCTCATGTTTCACTTACAAAGACTCCAACTTTCCTCAAAATTATTGTTCTTTCTTTCCTTTCAATCTTTCTTTTCTTCATAATCAGACGTTTTTCATTTGATATCACCACTTTTACTACTACAACTCCTTCTTCTCATGAATTTCCTATGTCTTTTACTTCAAGTCCTAACCAAACAACCACCTCTACCGTCGCCGGAAAACCCCCACCTCCACCGCTCAGGAGGCCGGAGATGGCAGTGGAACGGACGGGGATAATTGATGAGAATGGTGCAATGACTAATGACTTTGTGGTGGGGGAGTTTGATGAGGAGCTCATTGACAGTGTGGTGAATGGCAAGGTTAATGGGACTGATGAGGCATTGGAGAGTGATGGGAATAGAGGTGGTTTGAGGGGTAAAATTGGGAAATTTAAAGTTTGTGATGAGAGTATGAGGGATTATATTCCTTGTTTTGATAATGTGGAGGAACTTTCCAGAGTGAATTTGTCAGAAAGAGGGGGAAATTTGGAAAGGCATTGTCCTTCAAAAGGAAAAGGATTGGATTGTTTGATTCCAAGACCTAAAGATTACAAACTAAGAATACCATGGCCAAAAAGCAGGGATGAGGTATTCAATTTATGTTTTATTCATTATTATACTTCTAGTTAGTTAAGTTTCTCCATCTTTACCTAATTAATTGTGATGGTGAATTTGACTAATTAAAATATAAAAATTCGTTTTTGTCGATTATCGTTTGCAAGAAATACATTTGGTATATGGTTGATCTTATAGTTGAATTTACTTGCCTAGTTTAGAATTAAGGAAATAGTTGAAAGTGACTTGTCTTGGAATTTTGGTGCTTGGTTAGGTTATGGTTGCCTGTACATAACAGCATGAGGCAGGTTGCGGGAGTTTTAAGTTAAAGGTTAGGTAGTAAGCTTTTCTTTACTGTTTTTTATCCTGGTGAATGAAGACAGCTCTCTTAGAATCTAGCTAACTACTTAGCATTAGGAATTTGTCAGCTGCTATTGGAGAGGTACATGTGCCTTGTTTTTTCGGCCAATCACCTAATTTTGCCACTCTGCATTAATTCTAACCATGGTGTATGTGAATTGGTCTTGAATTTGCCCTAGTTATTCTTGGATAAATTTCATTATTGGATTCTCTTTCAATTCCAGGCCCCACTTGCTGGGATTTTACTGGGTTGTTGTTGTTGATTCTCTTTCAATGTTATCGATAATGTACTCACCACATATGTCAGTCATCCAATTGATTAGAAACTGGCCTAATTATTTACTGTAGAAAACCGTGGTTTTTCCCTAACCATTGTCAATCAGTATTTTCTGCTTTCGTCTTTTATTTCCTGTTAGAGGGGAAATGCCACTACTGTTCCTCTATTCTCTGGTGTGAGCTGTGATGCTCTTTTTGCTGCTTCGTCATGGCAATTTTTGCTATTGTCTTCTTCACATTTTGGAACTAAGTCTGGATGTATGTATATTATTTCAAAGTTTTATAAATGACGGAGAGAACCATATTAAAAAGTTAGTTTCTTATCCACCATTAATGTTGATGTTAAAAATGAAAATAAGAGTGTTCCTTTTACCTTTATTTGAAGATCCAAGTTTCAAGACATTACTTTTTTTTTTAAATATCAGTAACAAGGCATTACATATAAAGCTTTAAATTTAAACAGATCTGGCTTTCCAATGTGCCCCATACACCCTTTAAAGAGAAAGCAGGCAATAAGTGGGTAAAAAAGAAGGGAGACAAGTGCATATTTCCAGGAGATGGGACACAATATGTCCTCGGTGCAAATCAGTATTTGGATCAGATTTCCAAGGTACTCTGCCTTTTCCGCTTCCTACTTGGTTTATGTCTTATCAACATGACTTAAAAATGCTACTATGTTCATTCAACCATAGATGGTCCCAGAAATTGCTTTCGGCCAACGAACAAGAATTGCCATGGATATCGGTGGTGGTGTAGCGAGTTTTGGTGCATATCTGATGGACCGCAATGTCAGCACACTGTCCATTGCAACAAAAGATATGCATAATAATCAGATTCAATTTGCATTAGAACGCGGAGTGCCTGCTATGTTAACAGCATTTGCTAAACACCGTCTATTGTACCCTAGCCAAGCATTTGACTTGATACATTGTTCCAGATGTAGCATTTATTGGACCCGTGATGGTACATCTTGTTTGCTTTACTATTTGTTTCGCTATTGATTGCTATTCATCCTCAAGTTTTTGTCCAAGAAATTGTTCAGAGTTCTGTTATTTTCTAGACAGCTGAAATGTTTTGTTATGGTACAAATTATCTGGTGTAGAGTAGGGTCTCAATCTTGCAACATGTCTTAAACTATTCTTTTCAACTAAAACCAATCTCATCCCCACTCTGTAAAAAAGCAAAAACAAATGGCTTGACGTGGGAAAGCAACACAATATGGGAAATATAAAGAAACTTATCGAAAATAGGAGAAATAGAAACAAACCATCTTTTGAACTTTTACATGTATTCTTCTTTAAGTAAATTGTATTTGCATTGCAATACAAGCATTGCGTCTTCTTTCCTTCTCTTTTCCACATGATATATATATGGTTTAAGGGGTAAATCTTATTGCCAACCTAATCTCTCATTTCTCATTTATTGGTCTTTAATTTTGCCGGTGAAGATGGAATTCTGCTCCTAGAGGTAAACAGGATGCTTAGGGCAGGAGGGTACTTTATTTGGAAAGCAGAACCTGTTTACAGACATGAAGAAAACTTGTTTGCACCGTTGAAAGGTAACAGCTTCATCCAATATCTAGCAATATGGCACCATCAAATAGAGGTTGATATGAGTTAGAAATGTAGACATGAATCTTCAGGATTTGTTTCTGTTAGCGAATTGTGTAAAGCGTCCATCTTTAGCTTTCTCTTTATGTAGCATAAGGAGAGTCAGAGATGTTAATGAGTTACGAATCTTCTTGTAAATTGAATGCCATGTCCATCATTTTTGTACTTCCCTTTTCAGCTAAATCGTTACTGTGAGCTCTTCTAACTGTGGTAAAACGACATGCTGCTTTATGCTTTATATTCCTTACTGTTATGCAGAAATGGAGGATCTAACTCGACGCTTATGCTGGGAACTACTAAAGAATGAGGGTGACATTTCCATTTGGAGGAAGCCACTGAATAACAGCTGCTATCTTAGTCGTCCTCCAGCAGTTCAACCTTCTCTATGTGGTGTTGGTGACGATCCAGATAACGTCTGGTATTTCCTACTCTGTTCTGCCAATTTCATAAAACAGCATGCTGTAATTTCATCAATTCTGGATGCATGTCGTGCAATTTCCTTGGACTCCTGTTGAGTCATGTTCTAATATGTACTAGTCCTGTTCACTGTTTGCTTTTTATGATGAATTTATCAGTTTTTTTTTCCTTCCAAAAGTTCATTGGTTAAGGGGGCAATTAACAATAGGGATCTTAACGCAGCTGAATAAAGTAGTGACAAAGTTGTGAGTGAACTCCTAATTATGTGCTGCTGATACTCACTTTACTGGTTCTTTTTGGCAGGAACGTAAACCTAAAGACATGCATCATGCAGTTACCTGAGAACGGCTATGGATCTAATGTGACTACTTGGCCTGCACGCCTTCACTCTCCACCGGACAGGCTGTTTAGTATAAAAATGGACGCTGAACTATCTAGGAGGGAAATTTATAAAGCAGAGTCAAAATTTTGGCATGAAATCATAAGTGGATATGTTGGTGCTTTCCATTGGAAAGAATTAAACCTACGAAACGTGATGGACATGAGAGCTTTATATGGGGGGTATGTTCCATTTAAAAAATTCGGGTCTGGTCATTCCATTTTATATGCTCTGGTAATATCTAAGCTTTTGCTGTCTGAAAATTGTTTAAGCTGCACTACTCCTAACTTGAGATTCTTTGGTAGGTTTGCAGCTGCGTTGCATGATTTGAACATCGATTGCTGGGTTATGAATGTTGTTCCTGTTAGTGGTTCTAATACATTGCCAGTTCTATATGACCGGGGTCTCATTGGAGTCATGCATGACTGGTAATGTACACTGCGCTTTCTTTGGGTGGATTTTGCACCAAAATGTTTATAAGTCTGTTTTTGAAGTCAAATAATTTGAGTTATTGACCTATTATGCTAAACTAACATAAGTACAGAATTTACATGAACATCCACAAGACAATACACTACGCATACCTCCTTTTTTTGTTAGTCTTCAACATTTGATAACCGGTGCCTGTGGATATAAAAATCCTAAATTGCACTATAATTGATCAGGTATTAAACGAATAACTGTTCTACACCAAAATCAATTTCAGTAGTTGAAAATGACCTCTTACCAACCAATTAGACCATGGACATGAAAAGCTTAACCTGTTTCTATTGGTTTGAACTTCAGGTGTGAGCCATTTGATACTTATCCAAGAACATATGATTTACTCCATGCAGCTGCTCTTTTCTCAGTAGAAAGAAATAGGTATGGTACTTCGCTGACCTTGCCCTTATCTTATCGATCAATGTGGTTCGTAAAAAAGTAGTTCATTTTATGTGAGGCTGACTATACGTTCTCACATCTTATTCCCGCATTCATGCAGATGTAATGTGACGACTATCATGCTAGAAATGGACAGAATTCTTCGACCAGGGGGACGAGTTTATATTCGTGACACCACACCTGTTATCGAAGAGCTCGAAGAAATTGCACATGCCTTAGGATGGGTGCCATTTAAGTTTGATGGCAGCGAGGGTCCTCATTCTAACTGGAAGCTTTTGATCGGTGAAAAGCGTCTATGATATGATTTCATTCCCTGGCGCCCCCAGAATTTGGGGGCAATGGGGAATGAATTTTTTTTACTTTTTTTTTTTATAATTAATTTTACAGTAGGGCAAAAGATGGTGTAATACAAAATTGAAAAAGTGTCATATAGATTATACTCGATAAACTAATTCAAAATTTGTAACGCTATAAGATTTTATGGGAACAGACTGAATTAAATCATTGACACCCCTAGTTTTATCTGTCTCCGAGGAGAATTTCCCTTTTTCTTATTTATTGTTATTACTTGAGCAATTTTTTTAAAGTTTAATTTGTTTTAATTTTTGACTTTATAAGTAATCTTTTGTTACTTGAGTTCAAGAAAACTAAAGAGAAAAGTAAAACACCATATTTGCACAGTATTATGTTTATTGTCACTTTGTGTCTACAATTCTTTTAGGCCAAGCTCATAAGCGGCCCCTGAGCTTGTGGGATTCTTTCACTTGAACACTTAGTCAATGCCTTGTTCCAATTTAACACACATATCATCCATGAACTTTGTCTTCCTTTTCTCTTCTTATCTTTCATTCCCTCTTTATTCGTCTTATATACCTTGAGTGCAAGTTCAGTGCCGAGCCGAGGGAAGCGGGCATGGACGTGAGGCTTGGATCGCATTCGCAGGTCATTCCCAAGAGAGGCAGTTTCAAGTACCTTGGGTCGGTTATCCAAGGGGTGGGGAGATCGACGACAATGTCACACACCGTATAGGGGTGGGGTGGATGAAATGGAGGTTAGCATCTGGAGTCCTGTGTGACAAGAAAGTGCCTCCGCTACTCAAAAGTAAGTTTTATAGAGCGATGGTTAGGCCGGCCATGTTGTATGGGGTTGAGTGTTGGCCAGTTAATAACTCACATACCCAGAAGATGAAGGTAGCATAAATGAGGATGTTAAGGTGGATGTGCGAGCACACTAGGATGGATAAGATTAGGAATGAAGATATTCGGGAGAAGGTGGGCGTAGCTCCTATTGATGACAAAGATGCAAGAAGCGGGGCTCAGTTGGTTCGGGCACGTACATAGGAGGACCTTGGATACTCCGGTAAGGAGGTGCGAGCGGTTGGCATTGGTGGGTACGAGGAGAGGTAGATGGCGGCCTAAGAAGTATTGGGGAGAGATGATCAAGCGGGATATGGCGAGGCTTGAGATCTCCGAGGACATGGCACTCGATAGGACGCTGTGGAGGTCGAGCATTAAGGTTGTAGGTTAGGAGGTAGTTGAGCATATTTAGTCTACCAGAGTGAGGCTAGGTTGATAGGTTTTAGTCTTAGATTGCTAGTGGTCAGTGTTGTGTTTACACTACTCTTCCGTTTTCATAGTGTCGGACCTTATTTACTGGTTATTATTTCTGCTTTCCATCTATTCACTGGTTCTTGTGATGTTGTTATTATTTCCATGGCTTTTGTTGATGGTACTGATATATTGTCTCTTTTCGTCTTTTCGTCTTCTTGAGCCGAGGGTCTATCGGAAACAGCCTCTCTACCCTATCGGGGTAGAGGTAAGGTCTGCGTACACACTACCCTTCCCAGACCCCACTTGTGGGATTATACTGGGTCGTTGTTGTTTTTGTTGTTGTCTTTATTCGTCTTATCTTTCATTCTCTTTTCTCATTTTCCTTCTCTTTGGGTGTGTTTGGTATCAAGGAAAGTGTTTTTCATGCTAGAAAATGTTTTCATGAAAAATAAGTGGTTTTATCACTTATTTTCCCTTATTTGGTTGGTGAGTGGATAATTTTTTTCGGAAAATATTTTCTAGTCATTGGTTAGAGAGTAGAAAATAGTTTTTTAGGAAAATATTTTTTTATGCTACTCTCCTCACCCCCTTCCTCCAAGTCACCATGTTTCCTTGCTCTCCAACCCCCCCCCCCCCCCTCCAAATACCCAACGTTTTAGGACTCTATCTTCTTCAACAATTTAATTATTCTCCTAAAAATTCACACAAACCAAATGAACTAATGTGTTGCTTTACTTTTTTACGCAAAACAACGTTGAAATTTATGCTCCATAACTATAAAGAAAATATTCTTTTTAGGTTGAAAAAGAAAGTACTCTTTCTACAACATGAAAATAAAATAATAATTTTATTGAAATAAAAAAAAATACTTTTTCTACATCATGAAAAGAAAATACTCATTTTGTTGAAATGAAAGAAAATACTTTTTTCTACGTCACGAAAAGAAAGTACTTTTTATTGTTAAAATGAAAAAAAATACTTTTTTACATCATGAAAAATTTATTTAGTGTAGGGGTGGGGGATGAGGGTGGGGTGAGGGTGGGGTGGGTAAGTGGGGTGTGGAGGTGGGGTCGGTGGGGATGGGGAATAGGGTGGGAAGGTTGAAAAAGAGTTTTGGAAAATGTTTTCTCTTCTCTTAATAGGAAAAATATTTTCCTCCAATTGGAGGAAAATGTTTTCCAAAACATTTAAGTCAACCAAACATAGAAAAATTGAAAAATATTTTCCGAAAATGTTTTCCTTCGTACCAAACACACCCATCATATGTTTTGATTTTCCTTGCTATGGAGATCCTAGTATTAGAGTGGTAACCGGGCGGGTCGGGTAGAAAACGGATAATGAAAAAACGGATAAATTATCCGACCCGACCCATATTTAATA